CTGTTACATCCTTTGGCGTTGTATCTGTCTTATTCATTATTCCCAGTGCCCCATATGACAACTTCTAATTATATATTCAGTAAATCAGTGAATGAATGAATGAACAAGTCCTTACTCTATGTTCAACTCACATTGGCTCATATCCTCTCATTCCAGGTTTAATAGTCTTTCCCAAGTATCAGTCATTTTAAATGCCATCTTTTATGTGCATGTAGGAGTTGGGTTCTGTCAACCAGTTACTCTTATTATATCCCTGCATCTGTTTCCATGGGGACTGTCTCTTTGAAGTGACACTCCAACCCCTGACCACCACATAAAAGAAAATCATGAACTTTTAATCAGTAGTTTTAAGATGTTTTCTGTAGTAAGCCTCTTTTAAAAATCTATATCCAACAAACTGTGGTACATCCCTGCAAAGAAATATTATGCAGTGATCAAAAAGTAATGATCTATCAAGTTACCAAAAGACAGGGAAGAAACTTCAGTGCATTGGTAAGGGAAAAAAGCCAATGTGAAAGTCCACATGCTATATGATTGCAACTATGTGATATTCTGAAAAAGAGGACAATGTGGGGACAATTTAAAAGTTCAGTGGGGGCCTCCCTGCTGGCCTAGGGGTTAAGTCTCAGGGCTATCATTGCAAAAGCCTGAGTTCGATCTCTGGCCAGGGAGGTGACTCACATGGTGCGGCAGACCTCTTCTGTCTCACCAGCTGTTACCCTCAGCAGTGTATTTCAGTCAATCTGCCTGTTCTACTCCCCACTCTGTCTCTGGTGAATCCTCTCACCCCACCCCCCAAACCTCTGGCATAGACCCCAGTTCTTGTATGCATAAATAAATAAATATAAATCTTTTTCTAAAAAGTTCAACGCTTTCTAGGGATTCAGTGGAGGGATGCACAGATGAAACACAGGATATTTTTAATTCAGAATTTATTCTGCATGCATTATAATGGTGGATACATGACATGAGTTTGGCAAAACTCAGAATATACAGAAGAGTGGACGCTAATGTAAATTCTAACCATGGGCAGTAGTTAATAAAAATGCACCATTATTGGTTCATCAATTGTAACAAAGGTACCACATTAATGTAAAGGGGTCAATAATCAGGGCAAATGGGGGTTGGTTGACACAATACATGAGAACTTTGTGCTTTCTTCTCAGTATTTCTGTAAATCTGTAACAGCTCTACAAAGTACAGTTTACTAATAAAAAAATCCTGCCTTCTAGCTGGTCACTCAATATATAAAATATGTGACTAGAGGGGTGCTAGCTATAGTCAGGACATAGCCTCCTTCTTTTGTACCCACAAATACATCTAAGATCACCCTTTTTTCCCCTTTGGTGCCTGAGACACCACTCTGGAAAAGAGCCCATTGTTCTACGTAGTCATTTGAAATGTCCCCTTGCTCTGTCAACAGCTAGCTCCTGTCCCCACCCCCTCCACCTCCGGTGTTCCCTGAATAGTTTGGACCAGCCCCTCCTTAAACCCCACATCTGGCCCACCATGCTATTTTAGGAACCCCCAGGGTCTCTTTGTGATTTCAACTTTACTCTTCTCCTCTTGGCTTTCCCATCACATTGGATGAGAAATCCCAGTTCTGGTGCAAGCTGCCTCCCATCAATACCCACCTGGCACCAGCAGGTATGGGAGGCAGTTGAGGAGAGCAGGGAGGTGGAAACATACATTTTAAACTGGGTCCAGGGAAGCCAGACTGTTCCCACAGTCCCAAGTCTCCGCCAAGGTGCCTCAGCAGTCTTGCTGTTAACTATACCCTAACTGCCAACAAAGAATCCAAGAAGGACCTCAGCAACCCCTTGGAGGCATACCAGAACCTGTTAACTAAAAGTGGTGGCAGCACAATTACTGGCAAATATTTGCTGGGCAGAAGGAGTGTCCGTTCAGCGTCCCAGGGCACCAAGCCAGTTAGGGGCAGATTCCGCCACTGCGCTTCTGGGTCTTGGCTTCATGGCAAAGAGGGTCTCTCTCTGACAGCACAGCTGCACCAGCTCACGCCCTGGAAAAGGGGAGCCCACGCGCTCTCCCCCTGCGGCAGGGAGGCCCCCCCAGCAGCTCATCGCCATGGCTACCCGGCAGCACTGCCTCAAAGCCTTTCAGGAATCTCTGCTATTTGTGGAAAGTGGACAGCATCCCCCCAAAGCCGGCATTCCTGCACTCATGAGCTTTCAGGGGCTGCCTTTCTTTACTTTCCCTCACTCCAATTAAAAAGGCAGGAGTGGGCCCTGACACTCCACTCATGCTGGGGACCCTCAATGGCACCCAGCTGGGAGGTCTGCACCAGAGGCGGCCACGGCAGCAGTGATCCCAGACTCTTCCCCGGCCACAGAAAACAGGTTCACAGATCAGTGTGGCACAGCATTAGTGTGCTCTTAAATTCCTATTGGGATCGGAGGGAAAATAGACCCTCATTGATGTGACCGATGTGCCAATTAAGGACTCAGGTCTTTCTTCTGTGAGTTTTCTGTGTTCTGTTTTCCAAACACAATCTCAGGGGGAGGTGAGTGACAAGATAATATAATGGCTTTTGTGTATTTGCTACAAAGAACACCCAGTTAGAAACCTTCTCTTTGGGGCCTGTGGTGGCTGTTAGTCTGCATTTTTTCAAAGAAAATAAGAGAAATGTGTAGATAGGTCTAATAAGGTGAGGTTTTAGAAAAGAGAAACTGAATTTCAACTAGCTTAAATTCTTATTAAAACCCTTCCAACCAACTATGGATAAAAGAGAGAGAGAGAGAGAGAGAGAGAGAGTCTATGAAGTTTTCTGTCCAAATGGTCCCTAATACTGTCTGTTAGGACACATAAATCTGTCTTTTCGAGCCAGTGCATTTCTGTTATCCCAGAAGGGATGCCACTTAGTTTTAGTGTAGTGCCTCCAAAATTGTTCCATCTGTAGCCCCTGACCAAATATAAAGCTCCAGAGGGAACTGCAGTAATAATATGCCAATAGCTGAGCTGAGGGTGGGTCTGACCCACAGCAGGATAATCAGAGTTCTTCCCAGCAACTTTGAGAGTAGAAATAAAGGGGGGAAAACCTTTCCCTTTTGGGTGGGAAGCTATCAAATTCATTTTTGGAGTTAGGGAAGTTGTGGTTCCAGTCTTGGGGAAAGGGATTTGATTTAAGACATGAGGATGACATGTGGCAAAAAACAAAGACATGACAGAGAACCCTGTGGACGTTCACATCCTTGGTTTAACAGGTATAGCCCGCTTAAAAGTTCATGCAACACTGCTATTTTTTTTTTTAGCAAAAGACCTCCATTAGCGCCTGCTTTTGCTATCTGAAAGAAATCCAAAGAAGATTTTCCCTTTTATAAACAAGAGGCAAAAAGCAAAATAAGCACTTGGCATAGGTTTTGTAGCAGCCATTCTAGAGGCAGCCTTTACCCCATGCTACAAAAGTGGCATTGTCAGGCTCCTGCCCTGGGACATACTCAACACAGGTGTGGATTTATGTATCATTCCTGCTTTTACTGTATGTTAGTGTTATTACAGGTTTTCTGTGTTACCTGATATGTTTTGATAGGTTATTTTTAGGGTTTGAAAATGAGCAAACATTTTTTCACATAAATTAATGATAATTGCCTTTTGTGCCATTTCAAATTACAAAAGATTTTATAGGAAAGCCTTACTTTCAGATAGTGGGGGGAACCTGTAAGTGGTAGATTGTTAGAGTATGAATCCAAATAAATCACATCTTTTTATATATACAACCTCGTGAAATCCCCTACCACCTCAACTTGGCCGTATAACTTTCTTTGACCAATAGGACATCAGCAAAAGTGTTGTAAGCAGAGGGCTGAAAAACACTTATGCATTAGAACCTAACCTTCCTCTTGCTGCTTTTAGAACTAAGTCATTGTTTGAAGATGGCCAACTGGCCTGCTAGAGACAGGAGGACCTGCCAAAAGCAGCAGCAATTGCCAGATGTGAGAGACAACAATTAGAGACCATTCAGCCCCAGTTGTGCCACATGAGGGATGCCAGAGATCAGAAGAACCACCAGGCTGAGCCCAGCCCCAAGTGATGCCTCACTGAGTTAACAGCAAATGGTATGATGATTGTTTCTTTCACTAAGTTTCAGAGTGGATTGTTGCTCAACAATATAGCATGCTGCTCTTTGGAGCCTTTCTGCCAATTTGTGAAGAAGATGACTCTAAGACAAAAGACATGTAGAAATTAAAGCATGTGTGTCACAGATGTATTACTAAGCCCAGCCAACACCATGTGGAACAGAGATGGGTCTACCAGAAGAGCTTGGCCCAAGTTGCCAAACCATAGATTTATTTAAAAAAGAAAGAAAAAGGAAAAGAAGACATTTGTTTAAACTTGCACTTTAAGCTTTAAAGATCACTAGGATTTGGAGGGACTTGTTATGCAGGAAAAGCTACCTCATGCCTTCTTCTTGAAGTTACCACATTCTTGCCTTTCTCATCAAGGCAATAGCTTCCTCCATTTTGCCCAATCCACTGTGGGAGATTCTTAAGCATATATAATCACTCCTTTTCCCTTGACTACAAAATTCAGATTTTTGTTTAGGGAGGCAATATACCAAAATAAGTAGCCAACCCATTTCTCTTGCACCCAGATATGTGACTCAGTTGAAGCCTTGAAGAGGGATGTGAACAATTAATGAGGTGGCCCAAACCCTTCGATTTTCTACCTTTTCCTTACAAGAACACATGTGTGAAGACTGGAGCCCCAACAGCTATATTGAGATCATGCCAAACAAATAAAAATAAAAAAGAACCACAGAAATGTCAGACCTGACTCCTGGCTTCACCACTTGAAAGCTGTTTTCTGAGTGGCATTTCTATTTATGGAGACTCAGTCTCAGTATCTGTGAAGTGGGGTGATAATCCCATCTAGAATAGTTAAGATTATATGAAACATGCAGAGTGCCACGTGATGGAAATTAGAGGGCAGTGATACCTTTCCAAATTTTAAGTTGCATTTTTCTATTTCTTAAAGAGGCTCACCTTCAGAGTTCTGGCTTCTGCTCTTATTTCTGTAAGTACTGTTCACACATATAGACTATGCTTTGCATACAGGCTGCAAGGTTTCCAAGGTGTGGCCTTTGTCCCCTGGAGGAAGAAAGGTGAGGGAGATGAAGGGCTTCTCTCCATGGAGGTGTGACAACCTCTGGAAACAGCTGTCTATCTGCTGTTGACAGTATAAAAAAACAAAGCCAGGCCCAGAGTGGATGTGACTGCTACACCAAGGCCACGTGTGGGCTGACACGGAAACACACACTTCCTGGCCTATGTCCTCCATGCCCAGGATCACCCAATGCCACCCTGGGATTTCCCTAATACTCTACCGCCAGTGCCAGGTCTGTTCACTCCTGAGCTTCCAGATGCACAGAAAGACAAGAGTCCACCACTTCTGCACCCAGACTTTCCCATCTGCCTTTAACACTCAGGCCCCAGCTTGACCTCTAGATGCAGTCTCGGAGAAATAAGCCTCTGAGGATGATTTGTCAAACACGCAATTCGGCAACAGGGCAAGGAATTTTTCCTGACTTCTGCAGATAGGGGCTTACATCACAGCATGAAATTTGTTTACCCTTATCTTAGCACACAAGAACAAATTATCCACCCCTTGTTATAAATCCAGCAGCCCTGCATCTGTGGGCAGGTTTCTGTAAATCTCCTATAAACTCTAGTTGGGCTGACTTTTCACTTTTGTTGGCTGCCTTTTCCAGGCTCCAGCCTCACAGAATTGTCAGCCTCACTGGAGGACACACTGGCTTTCATCTGTAGAGATAATAGAAGGTAATAAAGAACAACCAGATCATTGCTATCTCAGAAGCTCCGCCATCCAGGAAGTGACCTCTCTCCCAGCTGAATTACAGTGTCTCCATCTGCCAGAAAGATCTGGAGAGTCAGTGAGATGTGTCCTGAATAGCCTGGGAAACCAGAATATCGGAGTGGGGTGAGGAACCTGTCCATGTGGGTTTTAAATGACATCTCAATGCCAAATAAAGGGGATCAGGCAGGGAAGGAGAAACCCTCCCTGTCGCTAACAGATAGTCAAACATCCAGCATCAAAGTGAACATCTCTGGCCTGGACACAGAAACTGCAAAGGCAGCAAGGTTGGCCTGGGGGTAGCTGAAAAATAAAATCCTACCCAGACACCATTTGTTTTTTTTTTCTTTTTTTTTTTTTAAGATTTATTTATTTATGCATACAAGAGCTGGGGCACAGGCCAGAGGCATGGGGGGCGGTGAGAGGATTCACCAGACAGAGTGGGGAACAGAACAGGCAGATTGACTGAAATACACTGCTGAGGGGAGCAGCTGGTGAGACAGGAGAGGTCTGCTGTGCCATGTGGGTAGCTCCCTGGCCTGGGTAAGAAATTGTGCTGCAGTGACTGCGAATAGCTTCGTAGGTTGCATCTCAACCCCTTGCACCACCAGAAAGGCCCCCCAGATGCCATTTGTTCCACTTCTGTGGGCTTCCTTCTGTGGGTGAGTCCACAAAGCATCAATGGGTGGAGATAATTCAGGACATTCTGTTCCCCCAATAGATTTTTATTTGCCCCATTCTAGAGTTGGACCCTTGGCCCAGACCCTCCTCTCTGCGGCACCCTTTCCTCCCCAGCTGTGCGGTGGCAGGGGGTGAGACTGTTAGGGGGAAAGGATGTCCTGAGCTAATTCCATAAAGGCTTTGTGGACTCCACCCCCACTCCCGACCAAAGCCATCAAGACACTGGAAATGACAAATCCCGTCATCACCAAAGGGAGGGTTGCTGGGACCTGAGGGTGGGATTAAGCTGCCAGGTTTGGTATAAAACCAGACACGTGGGCTTTGGGTCGCTCTCTTGGCCTCCTGGCTCTTGTTCTTGGCTCTTCGCCAGCTCTCGTGCCATTGGGATTCCAAGTCTGCGGAAGGGGTAGGACGCATTCATGAGTTTTCTCCCTGAGTTATTCATTTCTTCATTTTCCCTTTCTTTTGTAAATAAACTTTTTGTGTGCGCCTGCAGTTGAGTATTAATCAGTCCCTTTTAAGCCCGCGGGTGGGGACCCACAGTCAGGCAACCTGTTTTATGTTGGGGTTGCTCTGTAACAAGGAGAGGAAAAACAGGCAAATCTCTTAACATAACGCCTGAAACAGTCATTAGCAGTCAATAAAGATCAGATGTGATTATTTATAGGGGAAAAACAAACAGTTATAAGAGATAAATTCATATGGGTATTTTACAGGACAGGATGAGGGTCACCCCAGGACCCCCAAACCTTCCTGCTCTGAATAGGTTTTGCTATCCACTGCATCATGAGGGAAAGAATAGATAAAATAGTTTCCACATGAAACACCCAAAGTTACCCATCCCCTCAATGGTTCCAGCCTTTTGGAGAAGATGCTTCTGACACTGTCCCAGGCACTCGGGAGGAGGAGGCTGTGTTTCTCTCAACAAAATTCAATTCAATTAATCTCTTTCCACTTTGAACAGTCAGAGCCCAATTCCTCACAAACATCCACCACTACCTTGAAATTTTAATCCTTACTGTTAAGCAAAACAGTGCCCTGAGGCATAGTAAGGTATCTGGTGATCAAGCAGAAATGTAATTATTTTCATTCTGCTCTGGAAACGTAGGTAGGTGAGTGAATTAACACAGTTTAGTAAGATTTTTCAATAACCAAGGATGAAATGAGGCAGGTTTTATTTAACCTTCAGTTAAGCAGAAATCCAGTTAACTAGAAACCTTCAAGCAGTGTCCCTAGTTAATTGCTAGTAGGTTCTGCCTGTAAATTATTTACATAATGACTAGGGAGGCAGGAGTCCCTGGGGCTGATCAACAAGGGAAGTAAGGGGCTGCTGAAGGTGTGGGTGTATGGTGAGCTAGTCCTGACTTTTAGGGCAGGAATTTGTAAATCACTGGATGGGGGGAATTTGCCCTGTGGGGATGAGAATCTTTTTGACCTTGCCAAAATGGCAGGCTTCATGCTTAGGTCTGTCTTGCATTTATGTGCCTACGGGGACGTAGTGATTCGGTACAGCACACTGAAATCCAATTTATTTATCTTAGTTGGCATGCCCCCAAAGCTCTAATGACTCAGGCCCTCCCACAGTAATATATTCATTTGTCCAATTAGTCAGGGTCCCCGGGGACCTTTCTGTCCCCTCTACCTGGGCCATCCTTACACAGAAAACTCAGTTTCCTTTAGCCTGTGGGACTATATTCTTTCAGACTGTTTCCAAAATCACTTTGGGTGTGCTAAATTCTAGGAAACATGTCTGAAAGCCCTGGGGCTAACTACCTGGGTGAGGCTTGCGCACCTGGAGGAGGATGTGGACAGAGGAAGAGTTAATAACTGCATTTGGCTGCACCAAGAAGCTCCTTCCTGTTATTGTTCATGACATGAGGAGGAAAAGAATGGCTGGAACGTGGGGCTGCCTGGTCCGTATCCTGTTGGTTGGGTGACTCCTAGCTCCATGTCAGACATTTCACTCTGAGGTTTCACACTCCTCAGCCATGCAGTGGCTATGGGAGTAATAACAGAACCTGCCCTGTGAGGTTGTGATGGGGATTGACCAGGTAATGATTATAAATAGCGAGCACAGTACCTGATAGAAAGTAAATCCTCCTTTCTCGAGACAAGTCCTCATCTTTTGCTGGTGCGAAGTGAAGAGTAGCAGAATACGCCACCTCGAAGTACTCCATTTTGGCAAGAGGGTTATTTTGAGCTAAAGGCAATTGAATAGGAGTCTAACAGGGTGGTCCCCAGGAAAGGGGGAGGGTCCAGGTTTCCTGCCCCACCCCAGGGAGGGTGGAGCTGAGCAGATAGAGAAGAAGCTGCAGAGGAGACTGAGGAAGGAAGGAAGCAGCATGGAGCCAGGAGGCCTGGAGGGGGCACATGGAGCAGAGACACGTGAAGAAACTGTGCTTGCCTTTTGGTCGTGGACTGGGTGACACATATGCGGATGAGACCTGTGGGGAGGTGACCATGGCGGTTTTTGTCTTGATTTTGATTTTGCTCTTTTCCCTCCAGACTTGTTGGTTGTTTCTGACCCTTTTCTGTGGGTCCCCACTGGAAGGTGCTTTAGACTTGTGGCAGGCTTTGGGGCCTTGCTCTGGGCCAATCCTGCTTGGGTGGACTTTTACCCACGAGGGGACGGGTCACTTTGGGTGCTTGATTTAGAAACTAGATTCTTTGTCTTTTCTGTATTGTTCATTAATTGTATTAAAATTCCTTCCCACTAAAGTCTCATTTGTTTTGTGTTGATGTGGCGGATGGCAGAACCTATTTAGAGCAGGCAGGTTTGCTGGGTCTGCGGTGCCCCTCTCCCTGCCCTGTAACAGGAGCTGATAGAAAAAAAGCTCTACTTTGCCCCTCTCTACCTAACATCAATTGCCCTTGCTCAGGTGTCCACTGCCCTGCTTCCTGTGCCGGGAAAGGGATGACACCCTCATCATCAGAGATGTGATGGCCCCATGCAAACCAGCCTGATCTACCATCATTTTCCCCATCTACCTGCCTTCCTGCAAATGACCCTTAGCAACACAAGGTTTTCCTCCTTTGTCTTATCACTTCTCTACAAAATTATTGTTGTTTGCTAAGATGCTATCAAAGTCCACGTTCTAAGCACCCTTCTGATCTAGACTCAGTGCTCCTGTGTATATGCACAATGAACCCATTAATGAATCTTCATTTGTTTTTCTCCTATTAATTTATCTAATTTCCGGGGCCCAGGTCAATGAACCAAAGGTAGATAGAATGAAAAGACATTTTTCCTCTCCTAAAATAGCCTTGCACAGAGTACTTATAGTTCCTCCAAACTGCAAAAGCTAGATAAACATAGCTTATATACATACTCTGCTAGCTGAGTCTCTAAATATTCCTTGTCTGATGTGCGCAGCTGTTTTCAGAACTCACCGATAAAGGTTTAATTCTTGCACTCATTAGTCCATTAGTTCAAAAGTGTTTACTGAGCATTTACTTTGTTTAGTACGTGCTAGGTAGTGTGTTGTGGTCATGAGCTCCCAGAGGGCAAAGGTCAAGTTTTCATCTCCTTTGTACAACAGTGAGAGAGATGAATACCCATAAAGCAGGTGATCAGCAGGGACTCCCGGAGCCAGACTCCAGGCACAGAAGCTGAACCACAAGGAGCACATCAGCCCCATCACAGCACCCAGGGCAGGGCTGGAGCAACTGCGAGTTCCCATCACGCAGAGGGAGAATGCCGTCCCATCCTTTCTGATCCTGAGGTCCCTGGGATAACTCATTCAGTCGGGGGTCATCAACCCTATGTGATAAACTTTAGCCAAATCCTTTCATTCATGTCAATAGACCCCTATTGTATTCTTCTTTATTTTTTTCTTATTTTTTTTTTTTTTTTTCTAGAGGCATGTCTTATTTATTTATTTATTATTTGTTTGTTTGTTTGGTTTATACATGCACTGGGTACAGTCAGAAGCGTGGGAGGGTGAGAGAATTCACCAGAGCCAGAGCGGGGAGCAGAGCAGGCAGAGGGACCGAAGTACACTGCTGAGGGGAGCAGCGGGCGGCAGGAGAGGTCTGCTCGCCATGTGGGACCCTCCTCCGGTGGCCGGGGAGCAGCCGGGGATCGAACCGGCTGCAGAGGCTGCAGGCAGCTTCGCAACCCAGCGCTCAACCGCTGCGCCACCGGGGAGGCCCTTCTTTATTTTTTTCTTTTTTGCCTCCTTGACCCAGTTTATTACACCAGTTTCCTGCTGAGGCCTGATTCCTCCTTAGTATAAGTGTAAATCTGAACATTTACTTGAAAATCAAAATCACTTTCTGAAGGAGTATTTCTCTTGACCCGGACAGAGTTTCAGTTTCATCCAAAGAAGAATGTATTTATTTACTCAGCATATGTTTTTAAGCATCTGCTATGCACAGAACCCCGAACTGGTCAATGGGGGTATGGGGGCAGCAGCGACACACCAAAGTCTGGTCCCCTGGAGAGAGATGCAAAGATGAATAAATAAGCAAATAAAATCACAGGTGTAGTAAGTGTTATGTAGGGAACAAACAGGAGCTGAGGTAGAGTGAGGTGGGTAGCCAGCGGGTTGGCAAAGTCTTCCCTTATGCCTTGACTTAGTTGGAGGCATAAAGAATGCCACGGATTTCAATTGTGAAGCTTGGGATGAGGAACATGCCAGACCCAAGGAATGGCCATGTCCATACTTGAGAGAATCGTGAGTTTGGTGTGGATTGGAAACCAAAGCCTGGGGTGGCTGGCACACAGTGAGTAACTGGGAGTTGGTAGGAGAGGAGACTGAAGGATGTGATGAGTTAAACTCATGAATGAATGCAGCGGTGATGAATGATGACTTTGTTACAAATAGATAGTAGGAAAAGGCATGTGGAGTATGACAACAAGAGGACTCAGCCATGTTGGTCACTGTCTGGGCAAGGTGGGTGGTTCCTTCCTTCCTCTTCCCTCCTCTTGTGTCTGACTTCTGATTGCCAATCACTAATTGTATGACCGTGGCAAGATGCTTTCATTTCCTTGGCTTCTGCTGTGTTATTTGTAAAATGAGGATAATGATAATACTGCCAACCTCATAGGTGAGGATTGGATGAAGGAAGACGTATGAAGCTCTTAAGATGGCACTGGAAGCAGAAAGCATTTCCCAATTGTTGCCATCTTGGTTTTTACCATCTCCATGAATTAATTATCAGCTTAGAGGCTCAGAAACCCAACTCTTGTCAATGCAATGACCCCCAGAGTCAGAGACGTAAACCCAACCCCTTAGCTTACTAGGTGACAAAAAGAAGTGTAATGAGGGCCTTCCTGATGGCACAAGGGGTTAAGATGCAACCTATGAAGCTATCGCTGCCACTGCAGCACGAGTTCAATGCCCAGCTGGCCGGGGAGCTACGCACATGGCACAGCAGACCTCTCCTTATTTACCCTCTGCTCCCCTCAGCAGTGTATTTCAGTCAGTCTGCCTGTTCTGTTCCCCACTCTGTCTCTGGTGAATCCTCTCAGCCCCTGCATCTCTGTCCCGTACCCCAGTTCTTGTTTGCATAAATAAATAAATCTTTAAAAAAAAAAGAAGTGTGATGAGCAAGTCAACTTCTGCTATGCAACAGCAATAAAATACAAACCAAAAATGCAAACCACACATGAAATTTAAAATTTTATGGTGACCACATTAAGAAAAATAAAAAGAAACAGGTGATATCATTTCATAACATTTTTGTTTAATCCAATTGCTGTAAAATATTAGAATTTCTTTCTGCAATCAATATTAAAAGACATCAGTAAGACATTTCCTTTTTTTATGTAGTAATTCTTGAAAATCCACACACATCTCGTATTTATGACACTGTTCAGTTCAGACCTGTCACTTTCCAGTTGCTCAGTAGCCTCCTGTGACTAGTGGCCACCTTGTTGGACAATGCAGAGCTATACATTCTTGGTGAACTTGGCTGTGTTGCCTGCGACCGACTTCTTAATCCTGCTGAAACTCAACTGCCTAGTACAGTTGAGTTGGTGTACAGTGTACAGTGCCCTGTACACCATCACACCATATACTTCTAGGAAATTTTCGAGTGAATTTTCTCATCTGCAAATTGAGAGTAATCCTGCATCATTCAAGTTGTGACTTCAGCCGTGATGACAGTGATGACTACAGGTGACCCATAAAAAGCCCTTTCATTCATTTATTTGACTACAAGGTGTGCCTTGGGTATGTCAACCAGGTTCCAAGAGCTGGGGAAATCTGGATGAACAACTATATACACAACTAAAACACTATATACACAACTAAAATGTGATGTGAATCCAACCAGTGATAGAGAAATAGGGCAGGACACAGGATAAGGGGGATTGGGGGGGGCGGGGCTTTGGAATTTTAAATAGAGTTGTCAGGGAAGACTCACCACTAAGCTAAGACCAGAGTCAAGAATTAAAGGAGCATCCCCACCCCCACCCCCAAGATGAGGCCTGTTCCTGAAAGAAGAAACAGCAGGTTCTGAGAAGCATGCCCCCAGGAGGCCAGTGTATTTGGAGGTGTGGTGAGGGTTTTCCAGCCAGGTAATGGGGAGACATACCAGGCAGGTACTTGGCCCTTCTCCAAGGTTGGTGAAGAGCCAGGGGAAGGTTCTGAGCTGAGGGTGACCCAGTTAGGCTCAGTCAATCCGGATTCCTGGGGCTGTTGTATTATGAATAGATGAAAGGGGGTGAAATTTCCACAGGGACCCCTAGACTCCAGGCCTACACAAGGTTTGGGAAAAGGGAGACAGAAATTGACCCAGCAGACCAGTCTCTGCTCCTCCTTCCTATACCCCAAATCTTAGGTAGGTGGCTTCCCCTAATTCCTCCTGCAAATAGCCACAGGGAAGAAAAGGCCGCCTTCCTCTCTCCTTTCAGAATGCTTCCTCCTTAAAAGCATGGAGAATGCCCAAGGAAAGAAAAGGTTGGGTTTGCTCTGTGGAAGCTTCTCATTATTGACAGTCTTGTCTCTGCTCTGAATATATCATCCTCCCCTTCTCACACAAGAAGAGCAAAATAAGATTCTTAGAATTTAATTTTTTTTTTTTTTTTGAAATCCCTACATTTGGATTTGCAGATATGCCAATATTTGGATTTGTGGAGCTGTAATTTAAGCCAGTCTCTCCCCTGGAACTGCCTGGTGAAATGCATCTTTCATGAGGGTGCTGCAGGCCCAGCTCAGGCTCAGCCTCGGAGCACAAATCAAACTCCGTTCAACATCAGC